GACAGGGATGCTGTCAGACAGGGCTGTGGACAGGGATGCTGTCAGACAGGGATGCTGTGTTTGCTTTCTGTGGCTCCTGCTGGCCTGAGCCTCGCTGGGGCACCCAGGGCTCCAGGGCTGGTGAAGTGACTGCAGTACCAACTCCAAGTGCCCATGCAGGGGTGAGCACCTGCTGTGGGGCCCAGCCTGGCAGACCCTGCCTGGGGATGTGCGTTGTGGGGGGCTCACAGGGAGCCCCATGAGCTGACTTCATGCTGTAGCTGCTCACACCATGGCTGCTGCTGGGGGGTGGGAGCAGCAGGAGAGTGCTGGCCTCATCCTGGCTGCCAGCACTCCCTGCCCACTCCAGCCAGGCATTCCCTGCCTGCTCACTGCCCACTCCATCCTGGGGACCCACGGCACCAGGAATCTGGCTGAGGTGGACTTGATAGTTTACTCTAGTAATACAAAACCAATTTATAAATCTTTCCATCCCATTAGTTTTTATTTGATTTGGATGTTCACATGTCAAAGCAAATGATTTAATTAGTGCTAAGCTGGGCCACAGGGATGCTGCATTTCCCCCAGTCTGGTGCTCCCTGCCTGGCTTGCAGCCCAGCTCCCCCTGCCAGGAACAGACAGGTGTACCCAGAAGCCCATCTCAGAGCCCGTGGGCCTCGTCAGGCCCTGGTGGGGCAGGTGATATCCTCATGGGCATGAGCCCCACGTCCCTGGGCAGCCCCTTGCTGCAGCTCCCACCGCTGGAGTGGCACAGTCACCACGTTCCTGCGTCCTGGCACTGGGCACACACCCGCTACTGTGCGTGTGGGGCTGCCAGTGCCCCCATTCTCTGCCCAGGGGGTCCTTGGGGGCTGGGACGGACCCGGGAGACATCCATGGCCAGGGTCCTCCACAGCGCTGCCAGAGGGAGCTGTGCCTGCCTTGTCCCACCGGGAGGGGACACGCCAGCAGCCCCACGCTGCAGTCACCACCTCCTGGTGCCTGTCCCAGCTCCTTCCTCACCACCACCTTCTGCTTGGCTTGCAGGAGCCTGATGCCACGGACGCTGGACAGCCAGATCACGGTGGAGAAGACCCCCAGCTACTTTGTCACCAAAGAGGCCCCACGGCGGATCTTCAACATGTCCCGGGAGACGAAGCTGATCGTGGTGGTGCGGAACCCGGTCACCAGGGCCATCTCAGACTACACACAGACACTCTCCAAGAAGCCAGACATCCCCACCTTCGAGGGGCTGACCTTCCGAAACCGCAGCCTGGGGCTGGTGGACACCTCCTGGAACGCCATCCGCATCGGGATGTACGCCGTGCACCTGGAGAGCTGGCTCCAGTACTTCCCCCTCTCCCAGATCCACTTTGTCAGTGGGGAGAAGCTCATCACAGATCCAGCCGGGGAGATGGGCAAAGTCCAGGACTTCCTGGGCATTAAACGGGTTATCACGGACAAGCACTTCTACTTCAACAAGACAAAAGGCTTTCCGTGCCTGAAGAAGTCGGAGAGCAGTGGCTTGCCTCGCTGCCTGGGCAAGTCCAAGGGCAGGACTCATGTGCAGATAGACCCCGAGGTGATCGAGCAGCTTCGGGACTTTTATAGACCTTATAATATCAAATTCTATGAAACAGTTGGGCAGGACTTCAGGTGGGAATAAGGGCCTGGGAGCAGAGCTGCAGTGACATTAGGCTGCAGTCTTCCATGAGGGGGGCCCAAGAGAGCTGGGACCCCCCAGCTCGTCCTGCCCAGAACTGCGAGCAGAGGCAGGCGAGGGCTTCCCTGTCCCTTGGGAATCAGCAGTGCTCTGGAGCCAAGACAAGGAAGACACAGAGTCCTGCTGCAGTCACCACGCTGAGGGATGAGCATGAGGGTGACCTGCCTGTCCCAGCAGGTCAGCAGCGCTGTGGCTTGTCCTGTGGGGTCCTGTTTGCTTTTAACACCACGTGGTCTGCAGGGCCACAGTGATGGCCCCATCCTGCAGCCTGTGCGCAGGCTGCTCCAAGCACATCCCTCCTCTGTGTCCCAAAGCAGATGGGTGCTCCTGGGCAGTGGCAGTGGGACTGTCCCCCCACGTCCTGGGCAGGCAGAGCTCTGGCCTCTCCGCTTTGCCTTCATCACTTGCGCGCAGTGTGTACCCGTGAGGACAGTGAGATGTATCTGCTTGACAAAGAAGTCTATGGAAAATGTTGTACTGATATTTTGTCCTGTGAATAAAGCACAGAATCCTGCTGTTACGGGTACTTTAGTGGCACCAGTTTCCTTGTTCAGCATGTGATCCCTTCATGTAAATAAAGCGGCTTCCACCGGTCCCTACGCATGGGCTGTTCTTAGGGCAGGGCTGGGCAGCCCCACGCAGAGCTGGGGGGCCGTGGGGAGCCCCTGAGCCTGCTGGCAGGTGAGGGAGCAGGTGGGGGCTGGGGTAGGTTAGGGGATCAGCCTGGCATGACCTGCAGCACAGCCCTGCCCAGGCCTCCCCAGAGCTGTCCTCTGCCACGGGGCTGGGGGAGCCTCAGAGCGATGGCACGGTGGCCCTGTGGGGATGCAACACACCATGGACCAGTTTGCAAGGCCTTACTGGGAGTGGTTAGTGACCAGTGAGCTCTAACAGGAAAAAATTGGAGGTAATTAGTGGGCATCTAAGAAAGCCCCATCTACATCTCTGCCACTGTCAGCCACGGGACCCAAGGAGACCCAGAGGCAGCTGTGGGCAGGGGAAGGGAGAGCCCAGATTAACAGCCGTTGACAGGAAAATGGGATATTTGCTTGTATGATTTTTTTCCTTGAAAGGAGAAAAACATTCACAGTGAGACTCACAAATCCCAGCCTCGTAGTAGAAAAGCCATTTCCAATCCACTCCAAGGAGGCAGAAGGTGCCGAGTTAGATTGATCCCCCTGACAATTCTGTATTAGTGGGAAATTAGAGCTGGAGCCTGAGGAAACCGCTGTGATATCAAACAATTACTTTACATTTGTCCTTACAAATGGAGGGAGCAGAAATGTGCTTAAATCAAGTATTAGCTTTCCAAAGGGTGAGCAAGTGAGGGCTGGGAAAGAGCTGCACTGAAAATGCTGAGCACATTAGGAGCTCTTAAAAAGCTCCAAGTAGGTGATCTGCATTCCAAGGAGGCGAGGAGGGGTTGGTGGGGATGGAGGGGTTTGGTGAGGATGTGGAGCAGTGCTGGTTTGGTGACCTGATGCTGAGCAGAGGGGCTGCCAGAGGGATTCCCCCTGCTCGCCCAGCCTGGGATGTCCCCACTGTGAATGTCCCGACTCGGGGGATCTGGGGACAGAGCCTCTGCTCTCAGGGCCATCCCATGGCTGTAATGCAGCTATCTATCCCTGGTGCAGCACGTCCTGCAGCCCCAGCTGCCCCCATGGCACGGCCACTGCCACTGCGGGCACTGTTCTGATGGGTTTGCTCAGGCCTGAACCCCAGAGAGCGGCTGTTTAATATTTATCAGCTCATAAATACTTAAATGTAATGAATGTGACTTAAGTGGTCCCTGATCCTGCTCACACTGAAGAGCTCTTGAGATGTGCTGGGCTGAGGGAATCCTTCCTGGGGGCCATTCACATCACTGGCAACTGCCCTGCCCAGGCAGAGCAGAGCCACTGGTACATCTGAGTACCAATGGGCAGGAGTGTGGGGCTGGACAGAAGGGAAGCAGAGTGGGGAGATTGGTGGTGGTGCCTGGCAGCTCCATGGAGACGCCTCTGCCAGAAGAGGTTGGAGGATTCCTCTGGGGAAGGGGAAGGCTGGCAGCAGGAGCTGCCCATGGGCACCAAGTCCCCGGGGTTGTCCCTGCCCACCTGCAGCGTGGGGGACTCAGGCTGTGCAGAGGAGGAGCCCAGGATGTCTGTGCCTGCAGCTGCCAGCCCAGTCCGGTGCCCACTCCCCGGTGACGTGCCCACACACACAGATTAACACGTTTCATTTGCTCTGAGAGTTTTCCAAGTTCCTCTCCAAGTCCTGCCCAGCTTTTCATGAGCAGGAGTGTGTAGCAATGAGAGGACCTGATGGCATCAGTACTGCACTGAAGTCCAGGCATCATTGCATAATTCATTACCTGACAGTTAATTAGCCGGCTGGTCCAATTAGTGACTCCTGTTGGGCCAGGGCTGTGGGCATGGGGGCTGGCACTCAGGGCAGGCTGGGGCCACGGGGGCTGGCACTTGACAGTGGCCACGCCGGAGGCTCGTGGGGCCCACGGGGGTGTCAGCTGCTGTGGACCTTCTGCCAAGAGAAGGTGGTGGGTGTCACACGCCAGGGTGTGCGACACCACCTGGCAAAGGCATTTTAGCACTGGCTGGGGCTGCTCACTGCCCACACCAACCCCACAGCGTTCCCCCGGGCTGGCCACTGGATTGCTGCTGCCAGATCCCAGGAGGGGAAGAGCAGTTGGTTGGGATTCCCACCGTGTGGTGCTGGGTCCCAGCCAGCCCTGAGCACGGCGTGAGGGCAGCGACCTGGCTCTGGCACGCTCCAGTGGCTGGAGATAAGGACAGCTTAGGGATAAATATTTACCCAGTGACTGAGTGGATTCAACTGAGTTCGTTCTTATTAGAAGATCTGTCAGTAATTATCTGAAGACTTGTTATTACCTGGGGACCTATAATCTGCCACAGTAATGAGTTCAAGTGGCTCATGTGGCATAACAAGCAGGAGAGGGAAGGTGGGAAGGGGCCGCTGCCATCGCAGCAAGGGCAGGACGGGGCTCAAGGACAGTGGAGTCGCTCAGCTTTGGGGAACTGCAGCCACAGCACACCGTTCATGGGGCACAGAGCTGCTGCCTCGCCTCCCCACAGTGGGTGGCACAAGCCCTGGGCAGAGCTCAGGGCCGGGCAGAGCTCAGTGAGCTCAGAGAGTCAAAAAACTGAGACCTGAGTGGAACTACTGCGTCCCTGGCCAGATGTGGCTGTTGGGGATGTGCTGCAGGACATGGCCCCTGTGCCAGCCATGGGTGAATCCCATCTCCAGAGGCAGCTCCCAGTCCTGCCACCCGCAGGGACTCACCCTACAAACCTGAACCATCTCTCCTTGTCACATACTGTGGCTGGCATGTGGTGGTGGTGGCTGCTGGGGGGCCAGGTGCCCAGGCTCACACCTGGCTCCATGCCCCTGCCCTTTCCACCTTGCCTGAGTGCTGGTTGGTCCTGATGAATTTGTGTGTTTTGAATAAATTTATTTATTTAAAATACACAAATTTGATTTAAAACATCCAAAGAGGCTGATGCCCTCAGCCCCATCTCTGCCTGCTGCAGAGCTACCATGTGACAGTGCTGTGTTTAGTCATGGCACAGTTTTGAGACCAATGCAGTCATTAAGCTCTCATCTTTAAAACAAAGATAAAATTACGTGATTAAGATCTAATTAAAGTCTAACTACCAGCACCATGAATCACTTCAGCACACACTTTAATGGATGCCTTTCGAAGCCATCGTGCATCTGGTTTCCTTCTGTGGCTGATGATTTCCCTGCAGGGACCGGGTCTTCTCAGGCTGATGTTTGTTCTCGCTGGCTCTGATTTGGCTGGGGACCACTAAAAATGTTTACATGTGAACGAGGAGCTTGAAAATCCATTTCTAACCAGACAGAAAATTTCATTTGACAAGCTCGTTCAGATGTGCTGTGCCTCTGCAGAACGGAGCAGAGCGGGGGGGCTCCTCACCCGCCACCAGCTGGGGACCATCTCCTCAGCACTGACATGTGCTTGGTGTGGCATGCTGGGTGCTTGGTGCCCCAGTGGCTTGGTGCATGGACAGCTGGTGGCCTGAGCTGCACTAAGTGAGGAGAAAAAGCAAATGAAAGCCTCCCTCGTGGCTCTCGGGTTGTCCAGCCTGAGGGACAGCGCTGTAATAATGTTGATGGAGAATATTGTCATTTTCCTTTTCCCCAGCAAATCATTGCCTGCCACTGTCCCAGCACTGCCTCTCCCAGATCAACACAAACATTTAAATCCCTTGCTCCTGCGCCCACAGCCTGCCAAGGCAGAGACTCTGCCAAGGATTGTCTCTGCCAAGGGCTGCCTCTGCCAGGAGCTGCCTCCCTGGGACCAGCAGACCAGCATCTGCTGGACATGCCGTGGTCTCACTTCCACAGCATGGCATGGCAAGATTCTCCCTCTGCACAGGGCACACCAGCCTAGAGACCCTGCATGCTCTATGAGGCCAGACAGCACATTTCCCACTGGCTCTGTGCCCTCTCCACGGGCTCTGTCTGCTCTCCACGGGCTCTGTGCCCTCTCCACGGGCTCTGTGCACTCTCCACGGGCTCTGTCTGCTCTCCACGGGCTCTGTGCCCTCTCCACGGGCTCTGTGCCCTCTCCACGGACTCTGTGCACTCTCCACGGGCTCTGTCTGCTCTCTATGGGCTCTGTGCCCTCTCCACGGGCTCTGTGCACTCTCCACGGGCTCTATCTGCTCTCCACAGGCTCTATCTGCTCTCCACGGGCTCTGTGCTCCTCACAGCCTCTGTGCTCCCAGGCACACACTGAGCCTGCCACGAGCCAAGGCAGATCCCTCAACACTGCATTGACCCTGAAGGATTATGAGCAAGATCTCATATTGACATCAATCCAAGGAAGACAGATGGGGAAGACCTGGCAGAAGTGCCAGTTAAAATTATTAACACAACAGCCACCCTGCTGCTCACAGCAGCTCAGCCAGGGGAGGGATCATCCTACCTGCGGCCTCCCAGCCCTGCAGGAGCAACTGGTGGCACACGGTGCCAGCAGAGCTGCCGGGGTGGTTCTTTCCCCTGGAGCAGCCAAGCAGTGTGACACCAGTCCCCGAGGCCCCTGCAGCAACTGACACCATCCAGGACAGGATGTTGTGCACCTGCCAGGTGAGGCAGTGGCTGTCACCCTCCCCATGGCACTGCCAGCACTGCGTCCGTGGGAGCACAGCCTTGTCAGCGCCAACTGCTCCATCACATCCCCAGAGTTTAAGGTGAAGACAGCCCAGTGTTTCCCTTGGGGAGAGCACAGTGAAACGGCTTCTTTCCTGCTGCTCACACATGTGGGATGGATGGAAAGAGGTGTTTTAGGGAAACAAAGCAAAGAAAACTTAACAGCCCCATTTAGGTTTGTTTGGTGTCTTTTTCAGCAGAAGGACAGCTCGTTTTCCTGGTGGTGACACATTAAGTGCACATGTATCCTCTGGGGATCGCAGCACTGCAACAGGTACCTTTGAGGCTCAGTGGGAGGGAAGATTATCATCATTAATCACTGCTGGG